ATACAATTTAAAAAAGAGTGAGTACACAAGAGCAATTCACAAACACAGGACCCTACAAATAATAATGACAACTACCTAGGAGGCCCATTGATATAGCCTACTTTACATCTAGAAGCCCAGATATCCTTTTTCATTTTCAGCACATGCCCCTCAAAAGGTCTGTGCACGGCCCTGAACAGCAACACATGCTCATGCCAATCAGGGGTGCATTTCCCAAAAGCATTGTTAGCTAACTATGGTGGTAAGTTCCATTGAACTCTTTTGCTAACAACAGAACTTGCAACCATAGTTGCTTTTGGGAAACGCACCCCAGAGCAATACAAACTGGAAATCTGCAGTCTGTTAAGTTAGCTCAGCTACTCAAATTTGAGAACTGAAATGTCTCGGTTACATGTGCAACCCTCGTTCCCTGAAGGAGGGAATGGAGACATCACGTCGGGACTGACGAATGGGAATCTCGCCAGAGAGACCAATCCACTTCGAGTGGCTCGTTTAGTTACACTCGAAGTGGATTGGTCTCTCTGACAAGATTCCCATTCGTCGGACCCGACGTGACGTCGAGAGTGACCGACTGAAAGGGAACTAACTGTTAACAACAATAATAAAAGATCAGTAACTGTAATGGATTATATTATATTATAATATATCCTAATGAGCAAGTCATTCATTCAACTGATTTGTTCAAATAGCTGATTCATTCAGAAATGAAGACTGTCTTTATAAATGACTCACTGAATCATTTACTCAACTCCTTCAAAAACGTGGATTCATTCAGCAATTTATTTATTTCAAACTAGCACTTTTTTGTCTAAACATTTACATTTGTTGGTTAGCACTTTACAATGAGGTTCAATTAATTAATAGCATTAGTAATTAGATAGCTATCATGAACTAGAAATGAACAATCATTTTGCATTTATTAAGTCAGCCTATGCTAGTGAAAATTAACAAATATATTTTAGCATATATTAAGCGGTATAATTTAGCAATAAACGAACATGAATTAACAATGAATAGTATATTTATAGAGTCAATTGAACCTTGATTAACAAATGCTGTAAAATCGTTCATTGTTAGTTTGTGGTTCCTAATGCATTAACAAATGTTAACCAATGGAGCCATACTGTAAAGTGCTACCATTTATTTGTGTAAAATATTGCACTTCTTGGTTTTTTCTTGTTATTCTGCTCGAGGACATTGAACACAGAGACGTTATGATCTGCTCACCTGATTCAGTGAGTAATATGCCATGAATTATTCAACTGGACTAAAGTTAGAATCTCTCATCTGTTTTCATGATAGGAGCACTTTTAAAACATTCAGCTAAAATATCTAAAAAAAACTCTGCCTACTTGACTACTATTGGTACTACTAATTAATTGTTTATTGTGGGAACTGTTCATAAAAACGCCATCTAGCTTATATCATCATTTATTCTATCATTTAGGCAAATAAATGATATTCGCTTAAATTCTGATTCTGGCAAAATAACAGTGCTGGTACTACTAGATCTCAGTGCTGCGTTTAACACTGTCGATAATAACATACCTCTAGAGAGACTGGAAAACTGGGTCAGGCTTTCTGGGATGGTCCTCAAATGGTTCAGGTCATACTTAGAAGGGAGAGGTTATTACAGGTATGTGTGTATAGGAGAGCATAAGTCTAAGTGGACGTCTATGACATGCGGAGTCCCACAAGGATCAATTCTTTCACCGCACTTGTTTAGCCTGTATATGCTCCCACTAACTCAAATAATGAGAAAGAACCAAATCGCCTATCACAGCTATGCAGATGATACCCAGGTTTACCTAACCTTATCGCTAAATGACTACAGCCCCATTGACTCCCTCTGCCAATGCATTGATGAAATTAACTGTTGGATGTGCCAAAAATGTCTTCAGTTAAACAAGGAGAAAACTGAAGTCATTGCATTTGGAAACAAAGATGAAGTTCTCAAGGTGAATACATACTCTTGACTCGATTATAAATCCCTCAATGTCCTAGGACCTAAATACATTGCAGATACACTCTTAAAAATAACGGTGCTTAAAAAGTTCTTCACAGTGATGCCATAGAAGAACCATTTTTGGTTCCACAAAGAACCATTCAGTCAATCTCTTTCTTACCTTTTTATAATCTGAAGAACATTCCTTCACCACAAAGAACCTTTTGTGAAACAGAAAGGTTCTTCAGATGTTAAAGATTCTTTATGGAACCATTTAGACAAAAAGGTTCTTCTATGGCATCGTGGAGCCCCTTTATTTTTAAGAGTGTATGCACACTGAATATAAACCTAACAGACCACTCAGATCATTAATATTGAGTCAGTTAGAAATACCAAGGGTTCACACAAAACAAGCGGAATCCGCTTTTAGCTATTATGCCGCCCGCAGCTGGAATCAGCTTCCAGAAGAGATCAGATGTGCTAAAACATTAGCCACATTTAAATCCAGACTCAAAACTCATCTGTTTAGCTGTACATTTATTGAATGAGCACTGTGCTACGTCCGAACTGATTGCACTGTATTTTATGTATAATAATTTTAATTCATTTTAAATCAATATTTAAATCATTTTAAGTTCCTTTCAAGTTAAATTCCTTGTTTTTATTGCTGTGATTATTTTTATGATTATTTTAATTCCTTTTATATTAAGCACTTTGAATTACCATTGTGTATGAAATGTACTATATACTGTAAATAAACTTGCCTTGCCTAGCTTCACCATCACTTCATCTACACTCACAATGGTAACACAGCTTAATTAAATTAGGTAGAAATATCTCTTTAAGGTAACAGTTGCAAGTTACCTCTTTTTACAGTGTATATGATATATGATATGATACCATGTGATGGAGCTAGTTGATTTCAATTCATGCTGAATACATTTTGGATTAAATTTTTAAATAGGAGATATAATACATATGATGTTAAAATAACTTGTGATTTTTTTTCCTTTCTGTTGAACACAGAAGATATTTTGAACAAGCAGTGGCTGGTAGCCATTGACTTTCATAGTATGGAAAAAAAAAGAAGCTATGGAAGTCAATGGCTACCAGCAACTGTTTGGTTAAAATATTCTTCAATATTACTAAAAGTAAATCTGAAATACATATATTATAACCGAATCTTTTTTTGTCGAAAGTAAAAAAAATTTCAGTGTATGTTACAATATGAAATAATGGAAATGCCACGTCCACCGTGGAATGTTACATAGGATGTTCTACTGAATGCATAATTGGAGATGTGGTGGAAATTACATTTGTTGGTTCGGTTCTCCAACATCACTGACTTTTGTTGAAGGTTGACGTCGTCCAGGCTAATGTTTATTTCTGTGTACTATTCCTGATGAATATTTCAATCTGACCCTTAAGACGGGAGGCTGATGCGCGCTGGCAGCGGTCCTGCGGCTGAGCGGCTGTTGTTGAGTGGGCTGAAGTGCAGCATCAGAGGGACAAGCAGCCAGAGTTCATGTCTGTTTTAGCAGCAGCGGGCCATGAGGGGACGAGCGCACCAGCAGCACTGAGTCACCTACAGCATGTCACAAAACCCTTCTACTTCTGTCTTATAAACCAACATATTGATGCAAAGGACATAAAATAAGAATATCGTTATTGTTATATACAGTACATGTTGAGAGCCAGATCAGCCACATACAGCACGTTTGGTAAACCTGTACCCACAGTCCCTAAATTTAATAAAATAAAAATGCAGCATCTTTGAATTCGTGATTAATACAATTATTTTTAGAATTTATGTGCATCTTTCCGTTTCCATTCAGCATCTTTTTTATGCGATGTCCCAAAATGTGCATAAGAAAAGGTAGATGTAAACATAGCTATTGTCCTGTTGTTTTTCAAGCTGTCTGTTGCATGTTGATTCAGTAGCCCCTCACTGCAGAACACAAGATCCAGGGGGCGTGGTTGGATCCACATCTAGGGGGTGGAGATTGGTAGGTTTAGGTACATGTAAGATGGGAGGACTTGGATCTGGATCCAACCACGCCCCCTGGATCTTGTGTTCTACAGTGAGGACCATCTCTTTTGATTTGACTAGGCTACAAGTTAAAAATTAACATTTAACCAAAAAGAAAAAATTTTTATTGATTGATTGCTTGTGAAGTTATACCTGGCATATACTTTGTTTTGTTAAGTTACACCTTATGTGAGCAAAGTTAGTAAGTTTTAGCACAATGCGATAACATTAACTAGCATTTTCTGGAAAAAGAAGATCCTTTCTGGGTCAAAACGACCGAAATAAGACATGAGGGTTAAAGTTTCTAAAAGCAGTTTTTGTAATAGTTCAGGATTGGCTTTCTGTCAAAAGACATTGTTCTCTTCCTCACAACAGCAAACTTACTTACGGGTTCATGGAGGGCCAGCAGAACGTGAACTCCTCTCTCTCAATCGAATCACAATCCATAATAGATGTTGTGATAAATAAGTGATGAGAGATCAGCATGAGAGCATTACACCTCTATGGAAATCTAAAAGAAGCCTCTGCTGTGTCTCTGACTCCCCAGTGTAAAACCAAAAAGACCTCCAGTCAGAGGAACACAGAGTGGGCTATAAAAGAAAAGTCCAACACAACAAACCTCAGGCCAGACAGACACCAAATGAATGAGTGACCACACGCTCTTTCAAAGATGCTGCTAATGGACGTTATTGAAATGAATACTTTCAGCAAATGCAAGGCATTTGTCATCAGTCACAGATGATTTACTTCTCTTTGGCCCGCATAATTATTTCGCAGAGCACAAAAAAAACCTCATGAAAAACCGTCCTAATATTGGCCGTTACTCAAAAATGCCCCGGCTGCAAATTAGCTACAGCTGTCTTAATCAAACGGCCAAACGCTGAAGCGCTCGCCGCTGCTCATTAATTGTTTCAGTGTTTGTGTGTGTGTGTGTTTAGTCAAGACTTTAGTCAATCTTAGTCTGCTAAGAGACCGAACTAATTTAATTACATATGAGTTGATTGGCCGAACTCCACCTGAAACGCCACCTGCCTCTCCTCGATCAGATGTGAATGTGTGTGACAGGTGGAAAGTTGCTAACAACCAAACTATTGCTGTCTTGCAGTTCTTGCCAAGGCTCAAGGTTTGGTTAGTTAGCATAGCTAGTGAACCTTTGCTGGTAGATGTGGCCAAAAATCATCATTATGCTGCCAAAAAGCATCTTTCGTTCAGAATCAGCTGTATTATGCAAACTTTCTTCTTTTTTTTTTTTTCTCCAGGTATCGTGGATCTTCTTGGTTCTTAACAGGGTTATTACACTTAACTAAAAATAAAACCATGAGAATTTTTTTATTTTTATTACTGGGAATACAATAAATGTTACAAACTGAAATAAATTAGATTAAATAAAATATTACAAAGCTTATTTCTAAAACTAAACAATAATTAGTAAAAATGATAAAACAAAATACACTTTAATTTACGG